ACATAATATAATATAAGTAAACACTGGATTACAATGATTGGTTAAATAATAGAGGAGTGAGTACTGGACGCTTAAAGCCGGCGCGATTTTTGGGTCATACAATAATTTACTTGACTTATACTAGGGGCAATTTTTTTAAGACAATTTTAAATTTTAGAACTGGCATTTGCTGTTAATGACTTCTTGAATATATTTAATAGACAACAATTAAAAAATATCCATAAAGCAACCTACTCTAAAATAGGCCGGGTAAACATGACGTATCATGGTAATGTTCGTGTCGGGTTAAAACAATAAAGCGTCTTGAAATAGCTTCTTCTTAATATCTCTTATTCTTATTTACATGGGTAATAAGTTGAAACCATTACCAAAACCCGTTTATTTTGTATTAGTTTATGTCTGATTAGTAAATATATTGTATTGTGTTGGGTTAAAAAATTAAAGAGGTGGAAAGATATTGACTCTCTTACCCGTTTAGTTTTTTTTGGGTAGTACTGATCCATGTAATAAAAACGGCTATTTATTCGTGTAAATTAATATCTCGCGTTAATTTTTGTTAGCTCTCCAGTAAAGCAACAAATTAAGTAGTTAGTGTATTGTAACTCATAATGAAAATTATTAAACAAATTTATGGCTATCATAATTAATTTAAGTTGATTATATATATATAATATCCATGGCGAAACTAGAAGGTGACGTAGTATGAAGGAACTGTGCCAGGCTTGCACTCTAATCCAGCGAAAGGAATCCTCCAACCCCTCCATTAGGTTGTATTAGGTTACGTTTGCTTCGAAGCCAACCCTTCACTTAATTCTTACTTGCATCCATGCACATGGAATATATATATATATATATATATATATATATATATATATATATATATATATATATATATATATATATATATATATATATATATATATATATAGAGAGAGAGAGAGAGAGATGTTCAATTTAGAACCCAGAAAAAACGTTGACAATTTAAAAACATTTTTTTGTTTGTTTTTAAAAAAATCAAACTAATAATATCATCTAATAAAAATGTGGAAAAAAAAGAACGAAATTATTTTTTCGAAAAGCACATGTGAAAATTACATATTAATCAATCTGATGGCCAAGAATGTACACATATATGTCATTCTTACAACGCGTTTTAAAGCCGTGAGGACAAGAGATCTCATAAAAACTTTGTAGTTAAGCATACTCGGACGAGAGCAATTCGAGGATAGGTGACCCACTGGGAGGTTTTCATGCTGGGAACCCAAAGCGGATAATATTGTGATACGTGCCAGAGGGGAGTGTTACAAATGGTATCAGAGTTGGGGTACGACCCGATGTGGTCGACAGGGACATCGAAACCTATAATGGGGGGTGAAGGTGGGTTGCACCTGATCCCGCACCGGCTTGGAAGGAGAACAAAACATTTCCTTATAAGGGGTGTTATTACCTTCCTTGTCACAACGTGTTGTAAAGCCGTGAGGGCAGCAGATCCCATAAGAACAATTAAGCATGCTCGGGAGAGAGTAATCTAGGGATGAATGACCCCTAGGAAGTTTTCGTGTCCGGAGCCCAAAGTTGACACTATTGTAATACGTGTCATAGGGGGGGGGGGTGTTACATGCATAAGGTGATACGTTTATCAGTGATAAAACATTGATAAATTTGGATAAGCCAACTAACTACAAGAAAGCAACGGCAGGCCCTGAGGTAGCCAAGTGGTAAGATGCAATAAACAACAATACCAAGTTCATGTATGATAACCAAGTTTGGAATTTGATTAATCAAGAACCTGGTCGAAAGACAATTGATTGCAAATGGATCTTCAAAAAGAAGACTGACATAGATGGAAATGTGCATACGTTCAAGGCACGACTGGTTACGAAGGGCTTTACTTAAGTCCCACAGATTGACTATGATGAGACATTCTCACCAATGGCTAAGATAAAATCTATTACGGTATTTCTCACCATAGCCGCTTTTCATGATTATAAAATTTGGCAAATGGATGTCAAAAATGTTTTTCTTAATGGAAAGTTGGTTAAGGGTGTTTACATGAGTCAGGCTGAGGGTTTTGTTGATGCAAAGTTTCCCAATAGAGTGTGTAAGCTTGAGAAATCCATTTATGGATTGAAACAAAAATCTCTCAGGTGGAATCGTTGATTCCATGAGAAAGTCAAAGAATTTGATTTCTCTAGAAGTGAGGATAAGTCCTGTGTATATGCCAAACCTAGTGGGAGTATAGTAACTTTTCTAGTGTTGTATGTTGATGACATACTACTTAAAGGAAACAACATTCCAACCTCGCAAGAAGTAAAATCTTGGCTTGGAAAGTGTTTCACTATGAAGGATCTAGGAGAGGCTGCTTATATTCTCGAGAAGGATTTTGAGAGATAGAAAGAGAAGACTAATTAGACTTAGTCGAACTACATACTTGGACAAGGTATTCAGAGCAATGCCAAATTGAGTAAGACTCAATGCCCAAGTACAGATGAAGAGATAGTTAATATGAGTCGAATCCCTTATGCTTCGGCTATAGGATCGATCATGTATGCTATGACATGTACTCGCCCTAATGTTTCCTTTGTTTTGAGCATGGTTAGTCGCTATCAGGAAATCCTTACAGAGCTCATTGGACAGTAGTGAATAATATTCTCAAGTATCTGCAAAGGACAAATGATATGATTCTAGTCTTTGGAGGCTATAATAGATTGAGAGTGACTAGGTATAGTGAAGCCAACTTTCATTCTCAATCTGGCTGGGTGTTTACATTAAATGGAGGAGCAGTTATTTGGAAGAGTTCCAAGCAAGAAACAATGGCTGATTCTACCTGTGAATCGGAGTACATAGTGACAAGTGAAGCATCAAATGAAGCAGTATGGTTGAAAAACTTCATCGGAGATCTTGGAGTTGTCCTAACCAATCAAGAACCAATGAAACTTTTCTATAATAATGAATTAGTGGTTGCTTTAAATATGAACGTAGAGATCATGGCAAGTTAATACATATCGTCAAAAAGTACTATTACATCAGACATAGAGTAGAAGAAGGTCATCTCATAGTAAAGAGAGTCTCGTCAGAAGATAATCCTGTAGATCCTCTCACAATGGCTCTGAATGAGATTAAGCATAGACAGTATGCTATGAGCATTGGATTGAGAGATAACATTAGTTTTAGTAGTTAGATGATTAGTTTGAAACTTGTAACAAAAATAAGTGTAATTCACTTTTGGTGATTAAATAATAAAGATTATTTATAAGTTTATTTACTACCTTTGTCAATTAATTATTCTTGTATTTCATTTTGAATGTTTCACTTCCCAAATAATTTAATTATTTAAATTCCACAGTCGTTCATACTTTGTTGAAAGTTAAAGCAGGAAGGCTCTAGAACCCTTTGGGATTGGGTGGATGAAAATTAGCTAGAGATTATCTAGAATTTTTGTCCATGGGTGATTGGATAAGGAAATAAGGCAGTTTGATTATTATCCTAATTAATTTAGGCTTTATCCCAAAAACCCTAACTTTGACCCCAAGTTTCAGTCAACTATATAAAGGGTCATATACCTTCTTCATATTTTGGCCACTCCTTATATAGAGAAAGTCGAAATTATACTCACCCGTCTCCTCTCTCTTCAAGTATTCTAACTACTAGGGTTGGGTGTGAACCATCAGAGGCACGACACTTGTGGTGTTCGCTTCCAAAAGCTTTGAAGAAATGATTCTTGATTGATTACTCCAACAATCAACAATGTATGTAATCTTCTTCATGAATTAAAAATGCATTACAAAATTTCGTAGTTTGATAGTTCATAGTATGTTGCCTTTATGTGAAAGATATAGATCCTCCTTAGGTTGCATGTGTACTAATTATTTAGTTGTTAAATGTTTTTCCGCTTAGAACATTGTTTTGTAACCTACGTTCTCCATCAAATAGGACATTGGATGATTTTAGGGTGGGGTGGTGGAGGATGGAAAATGGTTTTCCTTTTTTTTTGGTTTATAATATTAATCTAATATAGTCTAATACTAAAAAATATTAGAAAACAAGAATTTTGTTTGATTTTGTAACTGGTTTAAACATGAACTTTTTAATAAATATTAAAGTATATATTTTTTAGTTATTAACATTGATTTTTTTAATTATAAAGATGTCTCCAACTAGAAAAACTAAATTGGCTTGTTAAAAGAAACAAAAATTATAATAATGTTTTTATAGTCAAATATGATCTATCAATCTATTTATCATCAAATAAATGTCAAAATATCATTGTAATGAAGAATCAGTTGTGGAACAAAATAACGAAGAAGAAACTGAATTGTATGTACCAAAAATATGGTTGAAGTTCATGAGGCTGTTGAAGAACATACAAAATAAGAACTTAAACCGTTAGTGTAAAAAGATAAGTCTTGTGTAGATGAATATATAGTTATGTTGAATGGTAATGGTGATGACAAAGAAGCTTTTATGGTGAACATCTATGATTCTAAAATCAAAATGTCTAATGAATCACAACTTGATGTTGTGGTAAAAATTTTACAAGATATTTATTAGCAACTTTAAGTTTTAAATTTAATGGTAGCAAATTAATTATTAATATTTTATAACAAAAGTTTTCCGGGCTTCATTTTGATATATATATATATATATATATATATATATATATATATATATATATATATATATATATATATATATATATATTACATGCATTGTTGCATAGCACATTGACAAAATATGAAATAGAGCTGTCTTTGTATCATTGCAATTTTGCATAAACTTAATCATATACTACCAACATACGTATATTCATATTTTCAGTTGCTTTTTTTAATGGTAACTTCGAATGTTGGAAAGGCAAAGCTTGATCGGTGGACTTACTCACGGGGGCGGCTTCTCTTTCTTACACTAAACACTTTTTCTCTCTCATATATATATACCTATATACTATACAGCGCATATACACATACATATACATACATATAACTGTAACCCTCAACTATATGGCTTACTCAACCACCCCCATCCCTTCTGTTAAAGAAGGCTCACATATGGAAGCTCATCAAGATGATGATATCATGATCATGGAGGACATGAAAAGCCACATCAAGGGAAAACGCACAAAACGTAGGAGACCTGCCTCATCGGCGCTTACTTTAAGCATAGCCTGTACCACCTCCTCATCCTCCACCACCACTACTTCAACCACCACCGGTGCTCCAGCCAACCCTACGTTCTTCCACATGCCCATCACAACCTCCATCGATTTCACCAACATCCTTCACGACAATGACGAAGATGTCGCCAATTGCCTGATCCTTTTGGCTCACGGTCACAATCTACCAGCAGCACCGTCACCGGTAAACGCCGTGGTGTCGCCTCCATTATATGTTTATGAATGCAAAACATGCAACCGTAGTTTCACCTCCTTCCAAGCCCTTGGTGGCCATAGAGCCAGCCACAACAAACCCCACAAGGATGTTCATTGTCAGCCTTCCAAAAATAGAACATCTCTTTCGATCAGTCCAAACAAGAACGTAATATGTAGCCCTAGTGGTTTGATCAAAGGCCCCAAGGTTCACGAATGTTCGATATGTGGATCTGATTTTACATCTGGCCAGGCATTAGGTGGTCACATGAGGCGACATCGATCCATGTCTATGGCTACAACAACTTGTAGTACATCCAACGGTTGTCATGAATCTAAGAAGCACAAAACCCTACTATCGTTGGACTTAAATCTTCCTGCTCCTGTAGAAGATGATCACAAGGAAACCAAATTTGGCTTCAGCTCGAACAACCAAATCATTGTATTTTCGGCACCCTCTTTAGTTGATTGTCATTTCTAATCACACAATTAGGGTATGTTAACATCATTATTCATTATTAGATTCTTTCAAATTCTTATAATTTGTTCATGTTCATCATGATTGTAACATTAGATTCTCTGACGAAGTGGCAAATTAAAAATTAATGTATGAATTTATCTTTGTTTATCATGTTCTTACGTTATGATTCTTTTCTTAATCAACAATTATTAAGTTCTCAAGTAACCAAAATACAAGAATGGTCTTTGGAAATTGATCACGTAAACGTGTGATACTTTTTGGCTTTTTTGCTTCTTTTTTCTTGATAATGGTTTTCGTGAATCAGATTCCTTAGTGCAGTCTAGTGGATATGGTATATGTTGGCAATGAAATGTTTTTAGAATTGTTCAAAGTTGCTAAAAATTAGTAATGATAATTTAGGATTCAATTACCAAATCTATATTGATAAAGGAACAACAAAAATTTCATTCATAACTTTTGATTCTCAGATAACCTTGGGGAAAGGTCGTTGCAATGCCACGCGATTTTGGATTTTACAAAAAAAAATTCATTAACGATGTATATAATAGCTTGTTATGAGTATTCATTCTCAAACAAGATCTACAAAATAAAATATAAAATATAAAAAAGTTAAGAGTGTGAATAATACTAGAAGAACATGGTTGAGCGACAAAATACATTTGTCTCCAAGTAATTAACGTTCAGCCACCAATAATCGTGACAATTTTTTTTGGATAATAGAGACAAAAATTAAAATACATTCGTTGGAAATAACTAACCTTCAACCACCATCTATTTCTAGAAAATGAACGAAAGATTAGCAATCGTCCTTCAATGAATTATTAGCGATTGCCACTCTTGCTTTTTCTTAGAAACAACGAAAATACATTAAAAATTGTTGACAACTTGATTTGGATTCTACAACTAAGTATTAGACATATTATTTTGTAAATATTAATACAGAGGTGTTGCAAATGCCACTGTCGAGATTGACATTTATTTTGTACGAGAACTAGTTCAAATAGGAAGAATTAGTGTCATTCATGTACCGACGGATCATCAGTATGCGAATATCTTTACCAAATGGCTGCCACGTCACCTCTTCAATTGTTTCAAGACCAGTTTGAGCATCTGTTCTCCTCCTGCTCCAACTATCGGGGAGTATTAGACATATTATTTTGTAGATATTGGTTACTCATATTTTCCTCTTTATTTCTCTAAATTGATATTGTAATTTAGATAGGTTGTTACTTATTATATCTATTTATGTATCATATCTTGAAAGGGATATGATACATAAATAGGTACAATAAAGGGATATGATACATAAATATGTACAATAGCTAACAACCTACCTGATCGATTATAAGGGATATGATACATAAATATGTACAATAGCTAACAACCTACCTGATCGATTATAAGGGATATGATACATAAATAGGTACAATAACTAACAACCTACCTAAATTACAATTCAATTTAAAGAAATTACACAATTCAATTTAAAGAAATTACAGGGGAAAATATGAGTAACCAACATCTATAAAATAATATGTCTAATACCAAGTTGTCCAATGAATGTTGGAATTACGTTTCCTGGTAGAAATATTGGAAGTCATGTTAGACTTTTTGACCGTTAATTTTGTTATGTTGTTATCTATCTAATATGTTAAGTCAGGTTTGTTAGAAGCAGTTATATCGAGTAGTTAGAAGGTGGTCTATAACCATAGTTAGTTAACTTAGCTAGAATTAGTTAGTTGTTAGGCTAATAGTTAGTTAGTCTGAGTATGTATAAAAGCTTTCTACTTTGTAATCATTTTCAAAATTCAATACAATCAATATTTTTGTTCTTTTCGATTTAAATTCACTCTCATATTATGGTATTATAACATTTTGTTTGTTATGCTTCCGCATTTATTAATTTTCTGATTCAAGATCATTAATTTTCGAGTCTTTTTATTGTTCATAATTCATATTCTGTTTTTTCTTCGATTTTTCATGATCTGATCATGCCAAATCCAATTTCTCCAACCTCTACTCCTAGTTCTTCAAAAAATGGTGTTGGATCATCTGATGATCCATATTATATCCACCATTTTGATAATCCTGGTGGATTGCTTGTTAGTCAAGTTCTCACATGAGACAATTATGCTTCCTGGTCATGTTCGGTACAATTGATTTATCCGTCAAGAACAAACTCGATTTTGTTACTAGTGAGTTGCCATGATCTTCGCCTACCGAAGCTAATCGTTTGAAGTCTTAGAATCGAAATAACAACATTGTTATTACGTGGATCTTAAATTCTATCATATATCTGACTACTGCATTTGCCATTTGGAAGGAGCTTCAAGAACATTTTCAGCAAAACAATGGCCCACACATCTTCCAGATTAAGCATGATTTGATGAATCTCACTCAAGGAGATGACTCAGCGAGCACTTATTTTACCAAATTAAAGGTTTTATGGGAAGAGCTGTCTAATTTTGAAGTTCATTGCACCTTTGGTTTTGTGTACTTGTGATGGTACGAAATATATTGAACATACTATGATGTTCTTGATAGGATTACATGAGAAGTATGCTCAAATTAGGGGACAAATTCTCCTAATGGATTCAATTCTCACAGTTAATTGAATTTTCTCTCTATTGATCCAGGAAGAACGCCAAAGAGAGATACACCAAAGAGAAATAGGTATTCCTTCTACCAACAATTCTCTTATTGCTTTTAATGTTCAAAGAAATTCAGGTTCAAATCAAAAGTTTCGATCATTTTCCAAGAATCGATCATCTCCAGTTTGTTCTCACCGCAAAAGAACTTGTCACACTGTTGACAAATGTTATAAACTTCATGGCTTTCCACCTGGCTATCGCTTCAATCAAAGATCCAATAAAAGTAACCCAAATCAAGGTAATTCACATGTTAATGTTGTTTTTGATCAAGATTTGGTTCTATTTAACAATGTTAAAGAATATGATGTAGGAGATCCTATTACTAGTCTCACAACACAACAATGCCAACAATTAATTGCAGTTCTTATAGGTCAACTTGCTTCTATTAATTATGTTACTGTTGTTGATGACAAACAATCAGGTACTCATTATGTCCTTACTTGTGAGTATGGATATTATCAATCTAACATTTGAATTTTAGACACTAGTGCAACTAGACATGTGTGTAATAATAATAAGGTTTTCATAAACCTAAAATGAATTATTAGAACCAAAGTTTGTTTACCAAATCATATGCTCATACAAGTGGAATATATAGAAATGTTAAGATCAGTAAGCATATTGTTCTTTAAAATGTTTTGTATATTCCTTAATTTGAGTTGAACTTGATCTCTATGTAAATGTTAGTTGAAAACAAGATGATTAAAGCATCATGCTATCACAATCGTGCTATTGTGAAACATATTTCAACCAAGAAGTAAATTAGCACTGCTAGGGTTGAAAGTGGCCTTTATTTGCTAGAAGACATGATTGAAGAAGTTCTTGTCCATGTTGTTGTTTCTCTTCCACATTGGTACCAAATATTTGGTCATCCTGTAAATGAGAAACTCAAGTTCATTGATAGTTGTTTGTTTTCAAATAAAGAATTTAATAATCACTTTTGTATTGTATGCCCTTTGGCTAAACAAAAGAGATTGAAATTTGAATCTTTTATTTATGTGGTTGATAAACCTTATGATATCATTCATTGTGATATATGGGGTCCTTATCATATATCTGATTATAAAGGTTTCAAAAAATTTATCACAATTAGGGTTGTTAATCGGGTCAACCCGATCGAGTTTCGGGTTAGTCGGGTTTGAAAAAATAAAATAAAAAAATTTCACCGAAACCCAAACCTATTAAGGTACGAGTTACTCGAGTTCGGGTTAATCGAGTTACGGTTTAATAGGGTCGGGTTAGTCGGGTTAATCAGGTTGAAATGTAAGTCAGACTAATGTTTTTCCATTTGCACAAATCAAGTAATAGTACAAGGACTCATTATGGAAATTGCTAAAAAAATGTTCAATTCATTATGTTGTTAGTGTAGGTTATACGTAGAAAGTAAGATGAATTCAATTTGTATCATTTTTATAAATCACTTATTAATATAAGGACTGAAAATGTAAATTTCAAGAAAATGTTCTGTTTATTTTGTTACTCAACCGTCGTCGATGATGAGAAAAAAATGAGAGGTTTTTTCTTCATGATATGATTTAACTTTTAAACGAAGAGAAATAAAGTCGAAGAATAACAATAGCTATAAAGTGTTGTGTTGTACAAACTGTTAGTTAAACGGGTTGACCCGAAATCCGAATTTTTTTTAGATAACCCTAAACCCGACCCTAACTTCAATTCCGGTTTGTCGGGTTAACCCGAATAACCCGATTAGAAATTTTGACCCTAATAAACCTGATCCTAATTACCTTGTTTGGGTTTGGATCGGGTCGGGTTCGGGTTTTTTTGGCACCTTAAATCACAATTATGGATGATTGCACTAGGTTCACATAGACATACTTTCTCAAGCACAATTCTAAAGTATAATTTGTTGTTCCTAGATTTCTTGCAATTGTTTCAACATAATTCAATAATAAAATCAAACTTCTTAAGTCTGATAATGCTAAAGAACTAGCATTTGTATATTTCTTTAACAGTGAGGGAGTTCTTTATCAATTCTCATGTGTTGAAAGGCCTGAACAGAACTCAGGGTTGGGAAGAAAACACCAACATCTTCTTAATGTTGTAAGATCCCTTTTCTTCTAATATAAACTTCCCATTTCTTACTAGTATGAGTGCATTTCTTGTGCTACTTTTCTCATTAATAGAACTCCATCTAAAACCCTTCAATTCATTACCCTATATGCGAAATTACATAATTGCCTTCCTGATTTCTAAAAGTTCAGATCTTTTGGTTGTTTGGATTGTGCTTCAACTCTACCTAGTTCCATAAAAAATTCACACCAAGAACCATATGTTGTATTTTTATTGGTTATCCTATGGGAATGAAGGCTTATAAGTTGATGGATGTTG